CAACGCCTGGCGTGGGAACTAGGGCCCCTGAAGTCGGCTGCTGATCGGGGCCTGCCACCGTGGCCCCCCCATCGTGAATTGTCTTAAGCTATTCAGGGCATTCTGCTGCAAGGGTGGTCTTCCGAACCCCCTGCGAGGGAACCCAGGGCCCCGAAGAACGGAAGCCCATCGTGGCCTCCCATCGTGTCCGCCATGCGCAGCGGTGGCCCTTCGCCGGAGTGACCTTCGGTGCGGGCCCACAAGGGGTCCTCCCGGCAGTGGCTTGCGCTCGTGGGCCTGCCCCCCCCGCGGCCCCCCGAAAGCCGCGCACAACAGGTCACTCTTGCCTAGGGTCACATCGTGGCCCCCCATCGTGGCCCATCATGTCCCCCCACCGCAAATCGCGCAAATCTGCTTAGCGTGTTCTGCAGCAAGGGTGCCATGTGTGGGGGGGGCCCGGCTTCTGGCTCGCTTCTGGTGAGACCCGATACACAATCCTCTTCGGGGCTTGCAACTGGTCTGGCCTGGGTCAGGAGCCTTTTCTTGATACACACCCCTTATCCCGATGATCGGCATCACTTCTTCTCGATGCTGACGTCAAGGGGGCCCTTCGGTTTGTGCGGGAGCGCCCGCAAGAGTGCCACCGCCTCGGGCCCGTCAATCCTGGGGACAGGGATGGGCTCGAGGCTGGCGAATCGGGCCCCTGGCCCGCCATTTTGATCCTGCTCATCTGGATCCTCTGCCCCTGTCCTTCCAGGGCCAGCCCCGCTGCCCCGAGAGCAGGAGAAGGACTTCCTCTCGGAGCTGTGCGGCGAGGCGGTGGACTTCGCCGCGGACTGGTTCGGGTCCGTCCGCTTCGCGCACAAGGAAAGGGGGGGAACGCGCTGATTCGTCAGACCAGGCAGAGAGAGCTATTGCCGGGGCATGCGCAGACAACAGGGGGCAGCCCCGACGGGGGTCAGCCGATCGCCTCCGATCCATCTTGCCGACCCAACATCATAATCATCACCGCCTTGATCAGATCATGACCATCAGCATCCGTTGTTCCAGCAGGGTTGTTCGGCCCACCTGGGAATTTGTAGACCATGCCCTCATGCGCAATTTTGGGCTCGCAAGTGCCGAGATGCGATTCTCGTTCTCTGGTGTGCCGGTCCGTTTCTTTGGGTCCCGCCGCACAATCTTGGCACATGATCAATATTCGCGCATTTGTCACCCTCCTGGCAATTCCTCGCCCTTATCATTCCTTATTGGCCCCCTGCTGTTCCTCCCTATCATCAGTGAATCATCACCATCATCATCAGAATCATCATCAGCAGCATCATCAGCATCCTCATCATCAGCATCATTGCCTTATTATGGTCATCATCATCACTATCGTCATCATCGCGATCATTATCATTCTAATCATCATCATCAGCATAACCACGACCACCATCATCATCATCATCATCATCATCATCATCATCATCAGCATCATCATCATCATCACCACCACCATCACCATCCGCAGCCATGTTGGCTCAAGCCTTCGGGCCAGCTTCCATCGGCGGCTGGTGTGGTTTGTGATGGCGCTGGAGGCGGCCCTCTTGCGGGAGGCCGCCGACGGCGGCGATGTGTGCAACCCGAGCGCGGCACGGCAGCAGAGGCGCCGAGCTGGCCAGGCGTGGGCCGTTTGTCGGGGGACGCGTACGTCCACGATCGTCCACGACCTTCAGCGGGCCGTGCGCTTCTGGCGGAGCCGCTACGAGAAGTTGGTGGAGTAGCTGGGGGACCCCGACACGGCGGAGCGCCTGTCGGTGGTGGCGGTGTACTTGAAGGACCTGGCGCACGGCAAGGCCATCGAATCTCCCGTCGACACGCTGCGGAGAAACGTTGCGTTCCACGCAGCGTTGGCGCCCTGGCCGTCGGGGACGGCGACGGCGCGCTCGCTGCGCCGAGCCCAGAAGTGGCCCAGGCTTGCGGCGTGCCCCGCGCTGGCGGCGGTTGGCCTCGCCGCACGCGGGGTGAACGACGCGACGCACGACGGCGAGAACAGGGCGGAGCTGGACGCCACGGCGAGGCGACGAAGAGTTGCGCGACCAAACCCGTGCTGGCGGTGTCGCCCTTCCCCTCGTTCGATAAGAGGCTCAGCGATCATGGCACGATCGCGTCGCACGAGCTCGGGGAGAAGCAGGGCGCGGCTGGCATGCAGTGGCAGCTGCGAGAAGGAGCTGACGGTGAAGCGGAGCCCACACGTGACCAGCTGCAGCTCGGGAGTGAAATTCGATCTAGCGCCCGCGTTTCGGGACACTCCCGCCCCCTACTCGCGGCCCCCCGGCTGGGCACGAGCGAGCACGAGGAGGAGCGCGGCGTGGAGGCGATGCACAAAGGGGGGTTGACGGTGGCGGCGGCGGCCGCGGAGGCGGACGGCGTCTCCGACACGCCATCCCCCTGCAAATTTGCGCGGTCGACCTCTGGGAGCGCCTGGAGGATGCCACGCAGGGCATCGAGACGATGATGGTACCCGCACGACCAAGCGCGGCATGGTCACGCACCGCACTGCGCAGCGGGAGGCCCTGCGCGCGGAGGCCCAGCGGGCGTTGGCCGACGCCGACGACGACGCAGACGAGCAGGGGGCCGAGTAGGAGCGTCTCGAGATCGGGCAGGCGCTCGCATCGGCTTGGTCTCACGTTGACGCGCTCGAGTGAAGACCAGGGGGCCTACGGGTCGCCGATCGGGGTGCTGCGCGGGCGCGAGCGCGCGCCATCCAGATCCCTTGCCATTTGCACTGAAGGAAATACGTAGAGATGCCCTGTCCTCGCTGGCGCGGCGTGCCCGCGGGCGCGTGGGAGGGGCATCGGTCTTTACAGCCTGCGGCTGTGAGCGCTCGCGGCACTGCGACGGATTACCTTTGGAGAGCGCGACCATCATCATCACCATCATCATCATCATCACCAGTATCTTCACCGTCACACCTACCATCAACGCCAACAGAATAGTAATCAACACCAGCAGCACCATCGTCACCATCACCCTCATCAGAATCACCAGCAGAAGCATCATCGTTGTCGTCATCATTGTCATCGCCGTCTTCACCATTACCATCGCATTCGCCCCCAGCACCGTCATCCTCATCATCATCATCAGCATTACCATCCGCAGCAGCATCATCAGCGTCAGCATCAGCACCGTCATGATCATCATCACCATCATCACCATCAGGAGCATCAGCATTACCAGCAGCAGCATCCTTATCATCATCATATGCTTCTCCCTCCGCCGACCCCCCCTCGTGTTTCGATGTTCGGCGAACACCGGCGGACAGGCTGTTCAGTTCCACCTTCCCCTCCTCCTCCTCCTCTTCCTCCTCCTCCTCGCACGGGGGACGTTTCCAAGATTGGGCGCGAGGCCTCCAGCACCCTCCCCGGCCATCTTCCGGGACTAGAGGGGGGCTTTTCGGAATTGCCGAGGCCATTGGCGGCCATTTGGAAGTCCTTCGGCCCTTTTTGGGCCATCCCAGACGCCATCGACAAAAATGGTGGTGCGGTGTAACAGCAGCTCCTGCTGGCTCACTCGAAATCGCGGCGTGGACTCACTGCATTTGTCCTTTGCCGCCGTACTCTGTCCAGTTTGCTCCGGGACAATCCGCCGACTGGAGTAAGGGCGCGGTCCTTGACCGAGTCCACATCGAAAGATGTTATTGACAGGAGAAGGAGGACTCTTCAATTAAGTCCCCCCCTCATTCGGTGCCAGGAAATCGGACCTTGGTTGGGGCGCTCGTGGAGTTGTCTTGGGGTGTTCCTGTGGGCTTCTAGTGTCTTCTTGGGGACCACCTGGGCCCGTGTTGGGCAGCCTCGGGGTCCTCTTGAGACCCCAGAGGCCCGTCCGAAGCGAAACTATGACTGGCTTTTTTTGTTTCATCAATCGAGGGCATTCTCAGGCGGCTCCTGTGTCACCCGCGGGGCCGTGCCGGAGGCAATCTCGGGCCAGCGCTCGCGGCCCAGCGCTCGCGGCCCAGCCATCGGGAGCCAACATGCGGACGCCGGGTGCGCGAAGTCTGCGATGGTGCGCCGCGCGCTCCAGAAGCGCCGCGCGCACCAGGTGCGCCAGGTGGCACGGGTCGGCGGCGAGCGAGGGGGGAAAATATGAGGAGGAGAGGGCCTCCTCAGAAAGCGGCGGGACTTCTCAGAAGCCCTCGCGCCTTCTGAGAAGCTTGTGTTTATCTCGGGGGAAGGCTTAGAAAACTTGCCAGAAAACTTCTCAGAAGGCCCGGGGACTTCCGAACCTTCTGAGACGGCCTTCTCCTTCTCACTGCTCCCCCTCGCTCGCCGCCGAACAGGGGTTCAAGCGTGCTAGGCGCGCCATGTGTGCCACGTGCGCCAAGTGTGCCACGTGCTCCAGTCGCGCCAAGTCCGACACTTGCGCGACGTGCACAGAGAATGGCAGGCCGCGACGGGTGCGCCAGTGCATGTGGCAGCACACATTGAGCAGTATGTCGGCAGCTCCACCACCCGTGTCAAAAGCCAATGGGTAGTGGCTGCGGGGTGGTAAACGTAGAGTGCATGGTCTGTGTGCACCCAGAATTAGCTTGCAGTGGCGTTCGATAAGGGTCGCAGACAAGCCAATACCCAACAAATATTGTCACATGATTGTTGCCAGTCAAAATCCAGTGCAAAGTGATCTCGGGGTGCCCGCACATGGTCTAGGTTTTGCCGCCACGTGCAAGTGCATTGCTGTGTGGACACAGACGGCGCGGGGTCCAGCACCATTCTTGGTCGGTGGCCGGTCAAGCGAGGAAGGGGGTGTTTATTCTTAAGGGGCTGTGGCAGACCATTCCCCAAAGGAGGAGAATGGGCTATTCTGGAAGGGATCGCACCCCAAACCAACCACTTGGTGGGATTACGCTTTCAGGGATCCCGCCGCGCGCGCGGCCTCTGCTGGCACGTGTGGCTCGAGGTGATGGGCGCGCCCAGCTCGTCCTTCCTCACCACAGCGCTGCGCTGCGACCGAGCTCCCGCGACAGCTGCGCGCACGCGCCTGCCATGGCGGAGGCGGACGCCTTCCGCGCCAGCGGCGGACCTCTCTGGGACGTGGAGGCCTTTGTCTGCTGCGTGGAGGAGGCCTGCCGAAGCTCCGGCCCGGTGCCCTCGGAGCAGGACTCGGACGCCGCAAAGCATACGCCAGTGCGCCGGCCCTGGCCAGGTCCGTCGTTGGTCCATGATCGGTAAGGATGTCCTCCCTGACCCAGGCAGCACGGCGCGTGCACCGTTCGTGGGCGAGTTGCGCGAGGATCGGAGCAGCGTGAGTGCCCGCAGAGATGTCAGCCCATTCCCCAGTATCCCTGGGACGCCGAGGTCGCCATCAGTGGGGAGGGCGCCGATGTGGAGCGGCTCTAGAAACCCTGAAGCCAAAAATGTTGTCATCTCTTGGAGGGCAACCTCTGCTGGCTCTCGCCAGCGGAGCCGACTCCGTATTGATGCCGCCGCCATCGGCCGTGCTTCCGGCCCCTCAAACAGCCGATCCCGCCCACATGCTTTTCGACAGTAATATGTACCCGATCGACCTCAGATTGAAATGGCGAGCGGGAATGAGATCGAAGATGGGGGGGAAAAATACTAGAGCTAACGAATGTTCAAATTCCGAGAAATCGAATGAAAACTAAGCAGAACTAGTAGCGGGCGGCCTCTCTGGAGTGCCCCGAGTGGGAGGGGCGGGTCGGGGGGCCCCCACACCAGGGGGAGCCCTTAAGACCACCGTGCTGCCCGCGATCGCCTCTCCAGAGTGCCGGGGGCGGCGAGCGGTGGGCGCGATCCCAGCGCGGGCGCTCGAGGCCGACCGCCGCCAGTGGCCCGGGGCCGGCCGACCCCGGACGACCTGCGCTGTCCGAGAGACGTTCAAGCAGTGGCGATGCGTCTTGGCTCGCCTGTAGCCCTGCCAAACCATGTTCTAAGAACTTTTTTTGTGGTTTCCACGAACTGTTCTTAGAACATTTCTGGCGGAGAGTCTCTTGTTTTAACACATGGGGCTTATGTTCTAAGAACATTGTTTTTACCTTAGAACATTGTTTTACCTTAGAAGCGAAGTCTACGGGTGAGGCGTTTTTTCTTTGAGAAATCGTTGGAGGGCCTATCCTCGACGCTTTCTCGAACCCCACCAGCCCATCAAGAGTTGATGCCCAGGCAAGTTGTTTTGATCAGGGATGCCGAAGAGCATGCAGTGGAAGAAAGGGCTGGGTAAGACGTCGTACCCCAAGAGGGAGAGGATGGAGGAGGAGTCGGATGAGCAGGAGAAAGAGGAGGAGGAGGAGGAGGAGGAGGGAGAGTGGAAGGGAGAGGATGGAGGAAGACAGATGATGAATATGCAGATGAGAAAGAGAAGGAGGAGGAGGAGGAGGAGGAGGAGGAGGAGGAGGGCGAGCAGAAAAGAACGCAACGATCTCTGACCCTGTCTATGCAAGGTCAAAAGGGCGAGCAGAAATGCCAGAAGCCTTCTTGGATACCTTTCGGAGTCTCTTCGGATAGCTTCCGAGAGCCTCTTGGAGTCCTCCTGGGGTGTCTTGGGGGTCTGTTGGCAGTCCTGGGTGCCTCGTGGGCCGTCTTGGGTGCCTCCGGGGAACCTCTGTTGGGGGTCTGTTGGGCGCCTTCTGGCGGTCCCAGCTGCCCCTTGGGTCGGAGGGCCCGAAGTGGACGTTCGAGTTCCCTCCTTTGGGCCCCTCTTGGGGCTTTTTGGAAGCCCTCTTGGGCCGTCTTGGGGCCCTCTTAGGGGACCTCTTGGGCCATTCTGGAACGATCTTGGGGGCCTCTTGAGCCGCTTTGGCGCTGTTGACACAAAAAGGGTGGATGTGTTGTCGATGCACGTTCTCCTCAGGAATTGAAGCGATTTTGGCCTCTTGGGGCCCTCTTGGGGTCAATTGGAGCGTCCTGGGGACGCCTTGGAGACTTCCTGGGCCGTCTTGAGGCTATATTGGTTGGTTTTGAGGCCTCGTCGTGTTGGAGCCCAGCTTGAGCAAGCTCAGATGGAATATTAGGCATCTTGGAAGTCACGGAGTGTAGGAATGATGGCTTCGGAGGCCCCAGGGGCCCCCGCTGCCCACCCCCTATCCCCCTCCAAATCGGATTTCAGACCCCGAGAGACGCGGCTCTGGCGGCCTGGGGCCGCTCAGGCATGTCTTCTTCTTGGCCAGCGAGCTCTTTGTTTTACAGGATGCTCGGACTCGCACGATCCCCATCGCGCACGTGCGCTGCTCCCGCCCTCCCTCCCAGGACCTGGGCCGCCTCCCCGGGCTGCGCGACGCGTGCGCGGCCCGCGGCGCCGTGGGCGAGGAGCTGCAGCGGCTGCGCAGCCTCGCGTACCGCCTCTGGCGCGCCTGCGCCGCCCCCGGCTGCGAGGCGCTGGCCGGCCTGGCCGAGGCCCGCCTGCGCCAGTTCGCCTGCGAGCTGCACGCCGCCTGCCGCCCCTCTGCCAGCGGCAGCGCCGAGGCCCGGGGCGGCGCCCCCCCCCCTGAGGAGGAGGAGGAGGAGGAGGGAGGAGGAGGAGGAGGAGGAGGAGGGAGAGGAGGAGGAGGAGGAGGAGGGAGAGGAGGGAGGAGGAGGAGGAGAGAGGAGGAGGAGGAGGAGGAGGAGGAGGAGGAGGAGGAGGAGGAGGGAGGAGGAGGAGAGGAGGAGGAGGAGGGAGGAGGAGGAGAGGAGAGGAGGAGGAGGAGGAGGAGGGGAGGAGGGAGGAGGAGGAAGGAGGAGGAGGAGGAGGAGGAGGAGGAGGAGGGAGGAGGAGGAGGAGGAGGAGGGGAGGAGGAGGAGGGGGAGGAGGAGGGGAGGAGGAGGAGGGGGGAGGAGGAGGTCAGGGCACCGAGCTGCTGCCCTCGGCAGCAGGAAGCGCAGCACCACCACCACCCGAGTCGTTCCAGAGGTGGTCGTGCCTTCGAGGGCCGAGGGGGTTGTCATTGCGTCCTCGGCGGAGTGCGGTGGAAGGTCGGCGCAGGTAGAACAGCCGCCGGCGGAGGGGCGGCGAGAGGTGGCAGAAGTGAAAAAGGCGCCCCCGAGTGATGATAACATTTTTGGATGCAGGGTTTCCGGAATCCGCCACCTGGGGGGCTTCAGGATGAGCTGGTGTGCTGGATGCGGGTGTGCACGATGTTCCGCGAGAGCGCCCAAAACGGTATACGCCACCACCACCCTTGGCCACCCTCTGCTTCCATCCTCCAAATGGTGGTGGTAGTGTTGGTCTTGGTCTTGGTCTTGGTCTTGGTCTTGGTCTTGGTCTTGGTCTTGGTCTTGGTCTTGGTCTTGGTGGTGGTGGTGGTGGTGGTGGTGGTGGTGGTGGTGATGGTGGTGGTGCGCTTCCTTCTCCTTTTGATCACCCTGCCCTCGTGTTCGCCCGTTGCGAGGCCTCCTGGGAGGCCCCCGTCGCCACGGCTGCATTCTCCTCGAGATGCTGCCCAGCACCCGCCCCCAGGAGGGGTCCCGGGAGCAGCGGTATCCGTGCCCTCTGTTAGGGTCTTATATGCGAACCCTACCCCTACCCCCCACGATTTCTGAGGGGGAGGGTGGGGTTCACTTCGCTCGGGAGCTCCCGAACAAAGTGAACCCCACCCTCCCCCTCAGAAATCGTGGGGGGTAGGGGTAGGGTCGCATGTGGCCCCCTATCTGTTCCCCCCACCTCCGAGATGGCCGGCCTCGCCGCCGCCGCACAGCTGCCGTTCCTGGCGCCCGCGGAGGGGGGCAGGGACGAAGAGGCCACCCTGGCGGCGCAGTGGGCGCTGGCCGGGCGGGCCTGGGCTGCAGCCGGCAGGGCCGACAGCGCGATCCGCTGCTTCGAGGCCGCAGCGCAGGCGTGGGAGGCATCGGAGGTTGATAGACCTGCCCTGACACGTCGGTTGGCGAATTGGCCGTTTTCGGTTCGCGAGAGGGCGTCGCGACCGTCATTCTTGCGGGTCCAGGTACGTCGGTTTCGGTCCCAGGCCGTTTTCACTAGAGGGAGGCCTACTATTTGTCCACCGCCGAAGGCAGCGGCGCCCGACGCCGCGGCGCTGGGCTCGCCAGGGGTGACGAAGCTCGCAGAGGCGGCCATGCAGGCGCACGTGTGGGCCAGCGCCGTGCACTTTGGAACGCAGTCGCACAGCCTGTCTATGGCCGCGCTGGCGAGGGCGAAGGACGCGCTCTCGTTCTGCTCGCCGGGGGAAGGCGTCCTGGAGGACTTCCTCCGCACGTGCTGCCAGCAGGCATCGGAGGTGCAGTCTGCGGGCAGGCCTCAGCAGGCGATCGAGCTCCTGACCCTGGCGCTTGCCACCGTCCCCGCCGAGGAGGCCCGTGGGCGGAAAACGACCTCCGTATCCACGGCTGCGTGTGCCGGGCCCCTGGGCCACGACCCCGTGGATGCGGGGCGTTTTTGCGCCGATGTCCCAGGCCGGGCCGCATCCATGCGATCGCGTGTCCACCGGATCACGCCCCAGAATCAAGACCGCTAGGGCGCGCGGATACGGATATGGACGTGCTTCAGGAGGGGAGAAAAGCACACAGGCACACTTCATCGTCGACTTCCAGGGAAAGATGTGAAAATATTGGAAGTGGGTGGGGAAGACGAAAACCCAGAGAATCCTGGGGTCCTGGGGTCCGTGTCTGTTCATTTGTGTGTCCCTGGGTCCCTTCAGTGCCCGCCGCATGCGAGAGAGGCAGAGGACGGCAGCCGCAGGCAGGGCAGCGCTGCCGCGGCCATGCGGGCCAGGCTGCTGCGGCACCTGGCGCTGTGCTACGGGCGGCTGCCCGAGCGCGGGCGGGCGCTCGAGCACGCCAGGGCGGCCGTGCAGGAGGAGGACTGATGGGACAGTTTCCCACCACCACTACCATAGGAAGAACGGGGGAGGATGGAGGATGGGGAGGTCCTCCTCCTCCTCCTCCTCCTCCGCCTCCCCCTCCCCCTCCCCCCCTCCTCCTCCTCCTCCTCATTCTCCTCCTCCTCCTCCTCCTCCTCCTCCTCCTCCTCCTCCTCCTCCTCCTCCTCCTCCTCCTCCTCCTCCTCCTCCTCCTCCTCCCCCCCTCCTCCCTCTCCTACCTATGGCAGTGGTGGTGGAGCATCGGCCCAGCAAGGACCCCACGTCCTCCGCGAGCGTGCTCTCGCTGAGGATCCTGCTCCAGGCGCTCTGCGAGCTGCCGCCGCCGCCGCCTGCGGCGGCCAGCGCGGCCCCGGGGCAGGGCACGGACGCGGGTGCCGACGGCAGCGCCGACGGCGGCGTTGGCGCGGGGCAGGAGGATCAGAGTAGGAAAAGGGGCCGATCATACCGCTGCCCTTGCTTCGTCTTCGCCTTGTGTGGGGCCTCCTGGGAGGCCCTCGTGGACAGGGCCAGAGCCACCCCGAACTGCTGGTCAGAACGCACCCCGGGAGAGGTCCCGGGAGCAACGGCATCGGTATTCCCGAGTAGCGTTTCGCTAGAGATGTTATTCCCAACCCTTCTTGGTTGGGCATTCGTTTTGAATACAGCACTGCGCTCTCCACTTCTCCTTCTCCTTCTCCTCCCGCCTCCCGCCTTGTGAGTACCTCTTGTGTGTGTATCGTGCTTGCGGTACTTCTTGTGGGCGCATTTTGCCTGGGGGGCTGCGATTTGCGAAACTGTCGCCACTTTCGAGGGCTGCTGGGGGGAGCATAGTGGGTAGCCGCCGCAGACCCGAATTCGACCTCGCCATCCCTGGGGGGGCTGCGATTTGCGAAACTGACGCCACTTTCGAGGGCTGCTGGGGACAGCATAGTGGGTAGCCGCCGCGGACCCAAATTCGACCTCGCCATCCCTGGGGGGCTGCGATTTGCGAAACGTTCGCCACTTTTGAAGGCTGCTGGGGAGACAGCATAGTGGGTAGCCGCCGCAGACCCAAATTCGACTTCGCCATCCCTGGGGGGCTGCGATTTGCGAAACTGTCATCCCTGGGAGGCTGCGAGTTGCGAAACTGTCGCCACTTTCGAGGGCTGCTGGGGGGACAGCATAGTGGGTAGCCGCCGCAGACCCAAATTTGACCTCGCCATCCCTGGGGGACTGCGATTTGCGAAACTTTCGCCACTTTCGAGGGCTTCTGGGGGGGAGGGACAGCATAGTGGGTAGCCGCCGCGGACCCAAATTCGACCTCGCCATCCCTGGGGGGCTGCGATGTGCGAAACTGACGCCATTTTTGAGGGCTGCTGGGTCGGTGGCGATCTGCACCACAACGCCTGTGTACACCATAGTGCCTGCGTGCACCACAGCGCCTGTGTACACCACACCGCCTATGTACATCGCAGCAGCCGCGTGCATCACAGCGCCAGTGTGTGCCACAGTGCCTGCTGGCACCACAGCGCTTGTGTACACCACAGCGCTTGCGTACACCACATCAGCCGTGTGCAACACAGCACCAGTGTACACCACAATGCATGCATGCACTCAGCACGGCACCAGTGAATAGACCATTCTGCGGTGCACGCTGAGACGCGCACGTGCGTTTTAGTGCCAACCCGCACGACAGGGGGGAAGGGTGAGGGAGGAGGAGGACGAGGACGAGGAGGACGAGGACGAGGAGGAGGCGGAGGTGGAGGAGGGAGGAGGGAAAAACGTCGCATTCTAGTATCAGCACTTCCCTGGCGTGGCGCTTAGCTGTCCGCAGCAGATCCTCACCGAGATGCTCCTTCTACCTGTCCTGTGCACGCAGACACTCAGGTGTACACCAGCGCTGCGTTGCACGCGGATGCTGTGGTGTAGACAGGCGCTGTGGTGTGCACAGGCGCTGTTGTACACGTAAGCATTGTTGTGTAGACAGGCACTGTGTTGCACATGGCTGTTGCGGTGTACGCAGGCGCTGTGGTGTACACAGGCGCTGTGGTGCACGCAAGCACTGTGGTGCACACAGGCGCTGCGTTGCACACGGCTGTTGCGGTGTACGCAGGCGCTGTGGTGTACACAGGCGCTGTGGTGCACGCGAGCACTGTGGTGTACTTAGGCGCTGTGGGGCAGATCGCCACCTACATGCTGCTTGCGTCGTCGTCGTCGTCGTGCGCGCGGGCGCGGCTGTGGTGCCAGAGCCGCACGGCGGGGGGGGGAGCGTTACGTCATACCGCCCCCCGCCCCCTACCCCCCCCCCATGACGCCCGTCATCGCCGATGATACAGAAACGCGCTCCTACTTTCGAAGACTGGTGGCGGGTCCAGCGGAGTGAGGCACCACGCAGATCTGAGAGGGACCTCGCAACCCCTGGGGGGCTGCGAGCCTCACGAATTCCGCTCGCAGAAGTATATGCGGCCATGTCACGTCATCACCTCCGTATAACGTCTCCCAAGCTACTCATGCCCCGCATTGCGCAGGGTATTTTTGTTGGGGAAAAAAGATTTTCACACACACATCTCTCTCTCTCTCTCTCTCTCTCTCTCTCTATATATCTATATATATATATATATAACCGCATGCCGATGATAATAAAGGGACCCCCCCTTCAGTGTTTAGAGTTGATTATCGTCGCCCTATACAAAATTCAAATTGGGCGGCGAGCGCTGAGGCCGAACTTCATTATCATCTCGAAACGCTATGTTGAGATAGCAACATCAAGCGATGCTGATATAGCAACATCAAGCGAAGCGATCACACTTTTTCAGGATGTGTCAAGCGAAACCAATAATTTTGGGAGGCAGACTCAAACGAAACGAGCAATGTTCTTATTATTATTATACTTTCCTCTTCTTCTTTTATATTTCTATATGTCCTCACGCTCGCCTGAACCTTTTTATCCCTGGGGTTGATTATCCATGGAAAATGAAGCACATGAGCTACCCTACACGAGCACTTAAAAAATCAATGTTCATAAAGCGTTTGTACATTAAAATTGATAGATTTGGAACTTTGGATTTTTCCTTTCTTCGTCCTCTTCTTATTATCCTCTTCTTCTTCTTTCTTATTATTATTATACTGTATTCTTCTTCTTTTATATTTCTCTCTGTCCCCACGCTCGCCTGAACTTTTTTATCTCTGGGGTTGATTATCCATGGAAATTGAGGCACATGAGCTACCCTACACGAGCACTTACAAAAAACAATTTTCATGAGAGATAAGCCATTGTTGAGGATATTTCTATGAAAACTAAACGCCAAGGATGTCTCAAAACGTGCTCGGCTTGGTCTCCTCTTGATCATCTCTTACTTCGAGATTATGCTGAGGTCTGCTGGGCTACTTTTATTATCTCTCCCTGAACCCCGAACTTTATTATCCCCTAGTGTTTATTCTCACGGGCATGAGGTTACCCATACATACATTCAAGAACAACCCCCCCAACAAAAAAAAACGCAGAAGAGTCCCACATGGGGGACGGCCAGCCCCAAACCGCCCGGTCCGGCAGCTGGTTCGCCTGCGACGTCCTCACAGTTGATTCTAGGATCGTGAGCTCGCCTCAACCAGGAAGACTGTTGTCAGGTTGGGGGCATGGGGTTCGAAGATATGAGGATATCCTGACCCGTAGCCGGCCGAAGGTATCGCTCATTACGTCCGGATGCTATTGTTTATGCCCTTCATCTTCCCAACCCCTTCCTCCCAACGCGATAGTTGTTCTCCTCACTCAACATGTTGAGCCTGGACGATCACGAACCCTAGCAACCAAGAAAGCTGAAGGTGCACAACATGGCCGCGTCTCGACCTCCTGCTCTAGAAAAGCAAAAGACGGCGTAAACATAATTTCGGGAGCTCCGCGCGGACTTCTTGGATCGGCGCTGGAGCCTCCCTGGCGGCGCTCCCGGCGCCGCCTCTAGCGCGCTCCGCGCGCCCAGATCCAGCGCCGATCAGAGAAATCTGCGCGGAGCTCCTGAGGCTTATGCTTATGTAGCCTTCCTCATTCAATTCTCCTCGACACGCCTCTTCACCTTTGCTGCTGTGATGGTGCTTTGCTGGGATGATCTGGGCTTGGCTAGGACGAGGACGAATTCATTCCAGAGCGTTCCGGAACGCCCTCAGAGCGCTCCCGAACGCTCTCTGAGCAGGCCGCGGCGCCCGAGCCAGCCTTCAGAGCCGCGGGATCTCACAGGTTCTCGATTTATCTTCACCCCATGTTATCCTCGTCCTGGCTTCGTCTTAGTTCGGATGCAACTCCTGGGAGGTCAATTTCTGACTTTGCTGCCCTGGTCTAAAATCTGGCTTAATCCCGTTTAATTTGGCTTACTCCTGGTTAATCCGGTTTAATCTTGCTTAGTTCGCAGCCTAATCCGGCGTAACAGCCCCCTTATAGGGTTTAATATTGCTTAGTCTTTCCGACGATGACCTCCCAGCAATTGGCTCTTAATCTTAGTGATTTTGTCGACTCCCCAGAGGAGCCCCAGGCGGTCGCCATGACGATCGCGCGCCACGCCGCCGCCTCGGTCGACGACGGGCTGTGGGCGTGCGGCCTCCTCCGCGGCGCGGGGCACCCTGCTGCGCGGGTCCTCGCCTGCCTGAAGGAGCTTCGCGCGCGGGTAGTTCGGGGCCCACACGTATGCACCACTACCACCTCCCTCACCCCCTCCCTCTCCCAGGAAAGAGGCGAGGAAGAAGAGGGCACATGAGGGAGGAAAAATCGACGTGGTGGTGGTGTAACTATACTCTTGGGGCCCGCAGGTAAGGAGCGCGGACGCCGAGTCGCAGAGGAAGCTCTTGCTGTACCGCCTGGAGTTTGCATCGGCCGTCGTCGAGAGCGGCAGCAGCAGCCCTGGCCTCCCCTCTGGCGATGATGCGTGGGTGCTCCTGCAGGAGGTCGTCCTCGAACTCCGGGAGGTCGCGCAGCGCGCTGAGCAGGCGTGGCTGGAGCTCTTTCAAGAGGTGGTCGCGCTCCTGTGGTCAAAGTCTTCAGCAGCATTTGAGGCTGGTGACCACGCTAAGGCAGCACAGTGGTTGACTCAGGCTGTGCCCTTCATACAGGAGCCCGGGCAGGTTGCAAACTGTCTGGCGACAATTGCGTTGTACCATAAGCGCGCGGGGAACAAGGAAGACACACGCGATTACGTTCAACGTGCGTTGGCAACAGACCCTGCAAACTTACAGGCCACTCTGCTTGTTGTGGTTGACTCCGCTGACCATGCAGTTGAGGCCGCCCACATTCAAGGCTTGCTCGAGCGCCTGATGGCAAATCCATCGTTCGCACCGAAGCATGCTGCCTGCGTTGCGTCGGCGCTGCTGCAGCAGCCGCAGGCGGACCTCGCACTGGCGGGGCTGGAAGTGTTGCTCCGGAAGCTGCTACAAGCTCCTGCCGAGGCTGCGAACCTCGAGCAAACGGCAGGTGTCTCGATCTTCCAGATGGGGTCTGAGCAGATGGGGTCGGAGGATCGCGCCGCATCGCCGATGCACCGGCGATGCATCGGCGATGCGGTTCGACGCGGAGCCCGATTTTCTCTCGCCGACGTCGCCGATGCATCGGTGATGCATTGGCAATGCGGCACGATCCTACGACCCCGTCAGCTCCGACCCCACCTGGAGAGTCCCTTCTGAGGTGCAGACGTCCTGGACGGATTGAGCATCAGCTGCGAGGTGCTGGAGAGGTCCGCGGCATTGAAGAGGCCGGCGGCCGACTTTGTCCGCCACGTCGGCCTCTCTGCAGACCACCTGCTCGCCCACCGCGCCGAGGTGATCCAGGCCTTCCGGGAGGGGAGCGGCCCCCGGGTCGACGAGGTGCGGCGGCTGCTGCGGGCGGCGTGGGAGCGAGGGAAGGAGCTGGGCGCCAGCGAGCACTGGGAGGAGTGCGCCGCAGTCCTCGAGGCGCTCCAGGGGCTGCTGGAGCAGCTGGACGCCCTGGACAGCCGCGAGGTGCTGGAGGTGCGCATCTGGGGCCTCGTCATGGCCGCCTCCGCCAAGCTCTCGCTGGCGAGGGGCGCCGCCAGGGGCCCCAAGGCCCATCGCCGGAATATGTCCGTCTCCACCGCCGCGGGGTCGTGCCCCCGGGACCTTGTGGACACCTGCCCGCCTGCGTGGGCGGGCGGACGCTCATGAGTATCCATCGCTCCCCGCGCCCCCAGGACACCACACCGCGGTAGTGGGGGCCTATGGAAAGAAGCACCCTGCTTGCCTCCAGGGTGCCCTGGGCTTGTTGTGGGTTCCGATGGCTTTCTTCTTGGACGGCGGGGCGCTCCCACACCAGAAACCAAAAAGGACGTCCTGGGGAAATTGGGGTTGGGCTTCTTGTGGAAAGGTTCTTGCAGACCAGCCTCCACTGTATGGACGTATCCCGGCGGCACGCGAGGCTCGCAGCGAGACGCACCAGCAGGCCCTGCACTGCCTCGACCGCGCGCACCAGCTGTGCCGGCGGGCCTCCTCGGCGGCGGGGGCCATTGCGGGCCAGGCCGCTGCGAGCGCGCTGCTGGGCGCCAGCACCCTCGGGCGCGCCTTTTGCGTGCTGGTGCTGCTCGAGTTCGAGGTCCGGTGCCTCTCGGGCGACTCGGAGTCGCAGCTGCAGCGGTTCGTGGACGACGCGTCCTCTCAGGAGGCCGTCGGGATCAAGGCCTTGCTGTTCATGGCGAAGGCTGTCAGAGGGAGAAGAGGTACCGATACCGATACCCTTTCTCCTCATTGTCAGCATTTGGGGACATCATGGGCGGCCCTCGTCGCCCCGGCTGGATTCTCTTCGAATTTCTGGTCAGAATGCACCCCGGGGGAGGTCTGGGCAGCAGCGGTATCGGTATTTTTTGGTTTATCCAGATTGCGGCTGCCGCTTCAATGCGGAAGTTGGCTATGCACTGCCTGCAGCGGTACTTGCGCGTGGCCGTCAACGCCTCTGGAGGACTGGATGCCCCACAGTGCGCGGTCGCCTACCGCGAGCTGATCGGTCTGCATGCGTCCCGGCAAGAGAGTTTTGTTGTCTACGATGGTATCCTCAATCTACTCAGCGGCGTGGGTGGAATGTCGGGGGTAATCGACGGCGCAGTTGTGAAGTACCCGAAAGATGAGCTCGAGTGGCTCGCAGCAACAGCTTGGAACAACGGTGCTTACTTCTACAGGCTTCAGCAGTACCGTTGGGCGGAGCGCTGGATGAGTAAGAGTATGGCGCTGCTCAAGTTCATCCCCGGGTCCTTCCCAGAGGACGACATGGTCAAGAGTTACACCGATTGCGTAGAGCATTGCAGGGATTGAGACGCGTGCCGTCCCCAAGGATTTCTAACGCGGGAGAGCGTTGCACTTGCAATGGGCGGGCGCACGTCGATGACATCCGCAAGGGGTCCTCCGCCCTACTGACACGTCTCGCCGTAGTGCAAGATATATACCAGGAGGTTGGATACACATGGCACGAGATGGGCGAGAGATGTATACCCACGTGAGCGAAGCAGCAACACGTGGTCGCTTGCGCCGAAAATTGCGCGCACGCTGCCCGCGTAAAGCCGCGCGTATACGCGCCTTTGTTTCCAACGTGGCGTGCCGCGCTGGCGGCCCGCGTAAGCCGCGACGCGAGGTCGCCATGCCGTCTCGCGCAGGACCCGTTTCTGATCCTTTGCTCGCGTGGCCGCATGACGCTCTGGCGCTCGGCCCTCGCAGCCGGGTGTGCCGGCCTTCCGCATGCGCATCCAGCGTGCGGCCTCCGCGCGTCCAGCCGCGCGTGCCTCCGGCCTCCGGGCGGCACCCGTGCAACAGCAATTCGTGGCGCGCACTCTGCCTGGGCTGCTGCTGGGGCAGCTCCCCTCGCGAGGTGCCAGCCGCTGCGCCGTTCCCCGCGCGCGAGGCACATGCCCCGGGTGGCCGGCGGACATGGCGTTCGAGGCTGCGCGAGCACGGGCGGGCCCGAGCAGCAAGCGCCGCTGGCAGTTCGACATAGCCGGTCTCGGGTGGCACGTTCGGCTCGCAGGTTCGTGCTGCGGACATCGGGTGGATGTGCGGTCGAAGCCCGTGTGCAAGCAGCGTGTGGGGCGCGCAAGCTCGACCTGGACCCCGTGTTGCCCTCGGCCTCGAGCTTCCGAGCCTTCCGCGCAGCAGGTGCCGCCCTCAGAGCGGCCGCGGCCGCCGAGACCGCCGCTGCGGCCACGACGGCGGCCGCCGCTGCGTTGCATCTGCCGCTCGGAAGGTGCGGAAGGTGTCAGCGAGAGCACAAGAGCCTCTGACCCTGATGGCACGACGAAGACGCGGCCTCACTTAGGTCCCCGTCTTCGCATTAGGGGCAATAGATCTGGTCGGTTCGGTCTGGTCTACCTGAGGCAAAGACCCCATCTAATGTTCCTGGCCCTCCTAGCTTAGGTCCCCTTCCAAGGGGTTGGGGGCACTTTGATTGCTTATCAGTGGAGGCACTTTTTAGAGGCGCTTGTTAGAGGTACTTTGTTTGAGTTTGCGTGCCCCACGCCTTTTTGCAAGGGTGCCCAGGTGGCGTTTCAAGGGTCCCCGGGTCCCCCCTGCCGGGCACGTTGGCACACCTGGAGCTCGTGGTGCCTGCCACCCTCGGCCGCGTTTGACGCCCAAGGCTATGCCTCCACTGCTATTGCGTCCGTGCTGGGAGGAGGGGGGGAAGGAGGAGGGGGAAGGAGGAGGAGGAGGAGGAGGAGGAGGAGGGGAAGGAGGAGGAGGAGGGGAAGGAGGAGGACGAGAAGAGGAGGAGGAGGAGGAGGAGAAGGAGGAGGAAGAGGAGGAGGAGGAGGAAGAGGAGGAGAAGGAGGATGGGCAGCAGAAGGAGGAGATAAAGGAGGAGGAGGATATAGAGGAGCAGGAGATAGAGGAGGATGAGATAGAGGAAGAAGAGGAGGAGGAGGAGGAGGAGCAGGAGGGAGAGTGGGAGGTGGAGGAGGACACATCATCGCGCTCATGTTGCCTCTTCTGGTCATTGTCATCGTCATCATGTTGCCGCTCGCCTTCCACCTGTTCCTCCTCGTCAAGCTTCGCCTCTTCCTTCTCGTTCTCCTCAGCCCGCTGCCGCGCCACATCGGCATCCTGCTGCCGCTGCTTCTCGTCCTTCTGCTGCTGCGTCGTCTCGTCCGGCTCCCCTCTCCTCCCAAACTCTCCTGGTATCTTCTCTCTTCTCCTCCTCTCCCCCCTCTCTTTCTTTTTCCCCCCTCCTCCTCCTCCTCCTCCTCCTCCTCCTCCTCCTCCTCTCCTCCTCCTCCGCCTCTCCTCCTCTTTCTCCCCCCTCCCCACCTCCCCCCTCCCCTCCCCCCCCACGGGCCTGGGCCGACGACGGCCCCCAGAAGGCCCAGGCAGGGGCGACGCCTGTCGAAGAGTTCCCCCCCCCCTGCTCCTCCCCAGAAGGCAGGCGGCCCGAAACCCCTCCTCCTCCTCCTCCTCCTCCTCCTCCTCCTCCTCCTCCTCCTCCAAAGCGACACCCAAACCTCGAAGTTCATTTTTTGGAGCTTCGAGCTTCCGCTCTGAGCCATGTAAGTTTTGAGTCGTGCTGCCGTCCCCCTCGAGCACGCACACCCGTGCCACGGGCGGACAGGGGCCCGTGCACTCATTCCCAGTGCCTGCAGGTGGCGGGACATGAGTGAAGTTGCCTCCTGAGGCCACTCAGGCGCCAATTATTTCGAGCTGTTGCCGATAGACATCGACACAGGCGCCCGAGAGTCGTTATGTTCTGTTCTGTTCTCCTCCTCCTCCTCATCCTCTTCCTCCTCCTCCTCCTCCACCTCCTCCCTGTCTTCGCGGACGGGCCTTGCCCCGGCCCTTCGGCGGCCGGATGGCCACTCCAGGAGCGGACTTCCGCGCAGTGGCCCCCGACAGCATCTGACAGAGTTCTTCCACCTCCTCCTCCTCCTCCTCCTCCTCCTCCTCCTCCTCCTCCTCCTCCTCCTCTGCCTCCCCGGCGTGAGCATACCTCGTCGTTGGGTGGCGTTGTCACCCCAGCCGCCGCCTTCGCCGCCGCCGTCGTTGACCTCCTTGCCGTCCTTTTCGTAAGTTTTTCCTCGTTGAACGTTGCCGCCGCCGCCCTACTCGCTCTCTTCTCCCTCCCGCCCTCCTCCCGAACCCCCTGACGTCGTGATTATTTCACGACGTAGCCCCCTAGAGGTCTTGACCCCTCCCTCTCCAGGGACGGGTTGTGCTTGACCATCTTGGGGCCGGGTGACGGCCCCCAGAGGCCAGAAGCATCAAAACATGTGCCGTCGTGTTTATGTCACGGCGCGATGGGGTCTGGATCCTCCTCCTCCTGCGCCTCTTCCTCCTCCTCCTCCTCTGCATCCTCCTCTGCATCCACCTCCTCACCCTCCTTCTCCCTATCAAATTAGTTTCCCCCTTCATCTCTCTCATACTATCGTCCTCCTCGTTCTCTCTCCCGGCAGTTGGCGCAGGAGCTCGCCGACGTTCAGGGGCTCTCGAGGAAAGAGATGTTCAAGGGCTCGGCGACTCAGGACAAGGCCCCCCCCCCGAGGGAGAGGGGGAGAGGACGAGGGCAGAGGGGCGGCATAGGGCGATCAATCGGACCTTCGATCCAAGGACCGCTACACTCCTCGGGGTGCCTACCCTTCCTGGCCCATGCCTCCTCTGAGTTCTTATCCTGCTCATCCTCCTCCTCCTCCTCCTTCTCCTCCTCCATTACTTCTCCTTATAGATGACTTCTCCCTGCCGCACCCCGAGGCCAGTTGTTAGGGCAGGCCGAGCGTCCCGCCTGAGACTTCCTTACCATGTGTGATTCTGAAGCTTACAAAGTGACAACAGCTTCACAGATGGAGGGCGGGCCGTTTCCAAAATGTGGCTCTCGCATTAGCGCCGCGTACACTCGTTTAGAACAATTGCAAGAGCGTCACGGATTGGAGGGCGGGTCGTTTTCAAAATGTGACTCTCGCTGCAGCGCCACGTACATTCGGTTTAAATAATTGCAACAGCTTCACGAATTGAGGGGGGGTCGTTTTCAAAATGTGACTCTCGCCTTAGCGCCGCGTACATCCGTTTCTTCTGTTTTGCAAAATGCGAGAGTTTCACGGATTGAGGGCGCTTCTTTTTCAAAATGTGGTTCTCGCCTTAGCGCCGCGCGCATTCGTCTTCAAATGTTGCAAGATTTTCACGGACTCCCATGATCAACGTACCAGAAATGATGTTTTGGCAGGATTCCGGACCATGCGGGTGCAACAATTATGTTGATTCGCGGTGTTGAAATCCCAGAAATAGCGCTTTGGCACGATTCCGGATCGTCAAGATGCAGCAGTCAGGTTGATACGTGGCGTTGAATCCCGAGAACAATGTTCTGGCATGCTTGAAGATCTTCAAGCGGTTGTCTTCCAACGAGGCAGTTCCTTCAATGGAAATGAACCCTTGTGGGGGCCTATGAAGACGGAGCTTGGAGGGATGGTTAATTCCAACATCGTTGATGACTCTTGGGTCTACACTGGTCCTCCTCCTCCTCCTCCTCTTCCTCTTCCTCTTCCTCTTCTCCTCCTCCTCCTTCTCCTCATCCTCATCCTCATCCTCACCCACCACCTCCTTCACATCTTTCACATCATGTACCTCCTCCATTTGCTCCGCGTACATCCTCCGCCTTCCCCTCCCCTGCTCGGCCTCGTCCTCCTCTACACAGCCACAACCTCTACCTCACCCCATCCATGAGAATCCCCCTGCTTCAATTCATCATGGTGTTACGCCTCCTTCATCCCCCAATATTGCACATCATCATTCGACATGCTCCACCTCCACTTCGTCTTTCTTCCTCTCCTTCCCCTCCACATGTCTCCTCTTGCTCCTCTTGCTCACTGTGTTGTCTTCCCCCATTGTCCTCCTCGTTCTTCTCCTCCTCCTCATCTTCCTCCTCATGATCATCATCAGCATCATCAACAGCATCATGATCAGCATCAGCATCATCAACAACATCAACATCACCATCGTCAGCATCGTCATCATTAGCATCATCATCAGCAGCAGCATCATCATCATCATCTGCATCATCAGCAGCATCATCCTGCTCCTTCCTATGATCCTCATCCTCCTTCTCCGTATCCTCCTCCTGTTCATCCTCTTCCTCCTCCCTTCTCCGCCTCCTCCTCAGCATCATCCTCATCATCATAATCATCAGAATCATCAGCAGCAGCAGCATCATCATCTTCCTATTCCTCCTTCTCCTCCTCTTCATCCTTCTCCTCCTCCTCCTCCTCCTCCTCCTCCTCCTCTTCCCCCTCCTCTCCCCTCCCTCCTCCCAATCCGCTTTCTCCCTCCTCCCCCCCGTGTTCTCTTCT